GTTGCGCGGCTCTGGGGAGTAGTCAAGGAGCGCACGTTGATGCTGTCCAAGTGGGTCCCATCATTGCGGCGGTCAAGCGAGTCTAAGACCTCCCCCTCACCAACTAGCCTGCTCCCCACCCAGCGAATTGTCGCCCCCTATCCCACCTCATGAACCCATTGGTGGCTATCGACCCACGTCCACAGCGGCCTGCCTTTCCTCAATTGCACCATTTCACTTTGCTTGTATTCATTGCATTCGTCACATGATTAAACTTTGTCTTGAACAGATAAACCTTAGTCAGACAAGCTCGGAAGCAAGCGACTCGGCCTTTTTTTGGGGGGGAACGACTACCTAGTTGATACAATGCAGAAAAGAAGAACGCAAGAGAAACCCAGAAAATAGATCAAACAGAACCCATATCGCGAAAAAGGAAAAACACCTATCGCAGAACCAATCAGACGCTTCGCACACCGAAAAGAGAGTAGTGGTCCTTCTGTCGTCAGGCTACCAAAGAAAGCGTGTTCCAGACGTAGAACAACAAACATTCATGTGAGATTCGTGTAATAACCGCTGGCATTGCCCATGCCCCTGCAGGATGACCACATCGCCCACCATCTATCGAGCCACTCACCCCGCAATTGCCAACTCTGAATTGTCACCATAAAGCCCAAAGAGTACCTGTGGGCAGACGATAGCAACCGAACACCGAGTAAATGACGCCTTGGAAACGATGGAGAACGCTATACCACAAGCCTATTGACATGCCCGGAGGCCGACCGACTCGACACCGGTCAATTCCTCCGATCTCGACTCGGCCCAAAGTCGACTTCAGACACCTTCTTTGCCTCTTTCCGGCTCTTGACAATGTATTGTGCATATAGAGCCACGTGGTCACTGGGAAAGTGGTAGTTCGGGAAGCCTGGCACCCGCTGAAGGTAGCTCTTGTCGATGTCGCCAAGCAGGCCGACCACTTGCAGGGTGTTTGTCGAGTACCAAATATAGTCCAGTACTCCTTGGAAGTGTGGAACATAGTTTGTAAACGCCAGCTCGCCAATCGATGCGTAGCTAGACTTGAGGCTGAAGGGGTGGGATATTCCGTCTCGTGTGAAGTTACCATACTTCCGGCTTCCCAAATCAGCGTGCACATTCGAAATGTTGCCGTTCGTAATGAGGTCGTAGACACCAGAAGACGGCAGTGAATTAAAGTCACCGCACAGGATTACTGGAATGTCAGCGGGGTCGGTATACACCTTGGATGGTCCTGGCTCTTGGGTCGGATCCGGCTCCGCTACTTCGTCATTGTCACCATTGGTGAACTGGTACACCACCTTGTTTGTGCAGGGTGGGTGCTTCGTCCATTGTGTCGCGAACTTGGTGATTCCCTCCATCAAAATGGCAACTTGCACGAGCTTGACGTCTTGGAATGCAGGGTTCCAGAACACGTGTACATTTCCAACAATGAATCTTGACCCAGTAGCTCGGTTTTCGAGGAATGCGACCACTCCAATGTCGTCTCGTGGCATGACACGGTTGAAAATGTCGTGCTCGCCCTTCATGTCGGGTCGGTTAATGGCCGTGTTAGCGAAATCGATCAATTGCTTGTCAAGCAGGATGTATCTATTACAAGTCAGTAAGTTTGCTAATAGAAAGATGCACGTCTCGATTCACTTACTTGCTATTCTTGTAGAAGATGGCACAGCCATCAACAAGTTTAGCTTCCCTCTCGGCCATGGTGCGTGCTCTGGACTTTGGCCAAAAGACTCCCTTATAGTCGTTGTGCGCAAGCGCTGCTCGGAAAAATTCATTGAAGCTCTCTTGATCAATCTCCTGCAAGCAGACAATGTCCGCATCGCGCTCTCGCAGTTCGGCCAAGATGAGTTCCCTGCGGCTTTCCCATTCAAGCGCTGAACTGGGCGTGTAACCGTATTGTGATTGCGTGCAGTACTTGTCGCACAGAATGTTGTAGCTCAGCGCACTCACAGTTTCTTGAGAGGTATCCTGGATCTCGTCGAGGACAATCCAGTCTCGCTCGGGTGGTGCCTCTGGTCCGGGTGCATTTTCGCGGAAGTGCTTGATGAGTTCCCCGGTACCCTGCTCCATGATAATCTGCTTCAGATCATCCGGAATCGGGTTACCCTCAATACCAAGCACTTCCAATTGATACAAGGATCCCAATTCATACGGCAGATTCTCGATGTGGTTGTCGAATAGCAACAGCTGCTTCAAGTTTACAAGCATGCCAATCTCTGGGGGAAGGTATTGCAGGTTGTTGAGTGAAAGGTCGAGATGTGTAAGGTTCCGTAATTGTCCAATCTTTTGGTGCACATAAGTGAGCTTGTTCGAATTGAGGTAGAGCTTCGTGAGAAAGGTGTATGCGAATAGCGCGGGGGTAATGACTTTGAGGTTCTGGCCGCCAAAGTCGAGGATGGTCCATATATGCTGGTCCTTTGCGTCTTCTGCTCGCTGGGCAGCAGGTCTATTGCGCTCCTCCTTGTCCGCCTCTTTCTGCATCCCATTGGTTGTTCCGGCTACGACGCTCTTGCTGACACTCGGGTGGATCCTGGCATGCGAGTGGGCCTGTGTCATTTCACGCGCTGTTTGATGCAGCTTCAATTGCTCTTGCCAGTGCTCAGTTTGTGGCTTGCTGAGACCGCTGTGAACGCTGTTCGGGGTACCATTTTGGAGGTGACCGGGGGTGAAGTGGGGCTGAACGTTGGACATGCCCCCGCTTGAGATGTTGTGCTGGTGGTTGTATTGTCCGACATGGCTGTTCCCAGTAAGATCTTGATGTTGTTGGTGATGTTGATGCTGATGCTGGTGGTGCTGATTGTGCTGAAAGGGCTTGCCAAGGCCCATTTGCATGGCAGCATAGTTTTGCTGCCCTGTCCGCCCGTTCATCATAACGTTGTGGCCCTGATGCCCATGGCCCTGGTTGAACATACCGAATTGCTGCGGAGACGATTGGCGCCCAGGAGATCGAGCTGGCGAAGGGGTATCGGGGTTACTGAAGGGGATGCGGGCGCTAGTTGTGGGGGATCGCGCGCGGGTAGGAAGGTTTCGTGTGTTCTGAGTGTGTCGTGGAAAAAAGGATTGGCCGGTTCCCCTGGGGTAGACCGAGTACTCGGCCATCTAAGGGAGTTCCGGCGGATGGATTCGAGGGGCCCGCAGGCGGCCGTGTGTATCGGGAGTGAAAGGCCCTAGTCGCTATGGCTAATGAAGGCGTCGGGCAGGTGGTAGGGTTCGGGCACGCGATCTTTTTCGTTCTAACATGGGCGCCCTTACGACTCCTCGACATGAGCACGCGCTATCAGAGGCGGGAGCTGTGCACCATGTACTAGAGGCGCCGGCGGTTCGCAAGTGAGGGTGGTTGTCTAAAGCGGGGAGTGGGCAGTGAGCGCGGGTTTGGGTTCGCTCGAGGCTCGTGGTTGTGGCGGTGAAAGGGTCGGGGCGCTGCTATTTGTTTTGATATGTCTGCAGGCTATTGTTCTGGAGCAGTCAGCTCTGCGGTGGTGGGGAATCAAAGAGGTTGGAGCTGTAGTGGGTGCTGGTGGAAGCGGGTGGAAAGCAGCGTACTTACAGAGCGGAGCATGTCAAAGAGCGCGCAGTATTTTGCTGTCAGTCGCAATTGTACCAGACAGACGGAGAGAGAGGTCCAACTGCAGCGCTGTGAAGAATAGAGAGCGTAGTGATGCGATACGTGAAGCCTGAGAGTCGAACCTTGCCCGATGCATGGGGGGTGCCGCTAGACGGCACACGTGACATAGTGGAAGCGTCGATCTGGTGCGCTGAAACGACACATCTGTCCCCTCGCGCGCCGGCCTTGGTAGTGCACGCATTCTGTGTCTGGGCTGCTGCAGAAGCAATGTGACCGGCGGGAATGTATCTCGGACAGAGTTGCTTTGGGGAAGTGGTCTACATGACATGTAGGGCACACTCGAAGTAGGTGGTCCGCGCGGGCATTCAGGCTCACGAGGGCTCCATGGGACAGCAGTAGCAATAGTACGCATACGTACATGTACGTACGTACCGTGTGTATATGTATGGATACATACGTACACACATGGTAATAATGGTAGTAGACACTGGGTCTCTGGAAAAACTCAATGGCTCAGATACGCAATCACACACGTGTGTATATACCAAGTACACATGTACCGACATGTATGTATACATAGATACATAGATACATATACACATAGATACATACACACTGTTGCTGCTACTGCTACTGCTGCGGCTAGCCTAGGAGGCACTCCCCTATGCAAATCATGGATGCCATCACCTGCAGCGCGCACCGTCGGCTGATGCCGCGCCCATGCATACGGCGGTCCTCCAGAGCAGCTTCGGTCACAGCGCCCACATTTTCCGCCCAGCGGATTTGCCCTGGAAATCCGGGGGGCATCACACAGCCGCAGACGGTGATTGGAGATGTCTCCTCGGCACGATCCAGAACTCCTCACCTGAGCGGCCTTGTACACCCGGGTATGAAACCGAGATGCATCCATTGAAAGCCCCCCGTCCCCATACATACATACTAGACACATTCCACTCAGCACTCGCGCTTCAACTATGCTGACACCTCGGCCTGCCCTGACATACTACCCCCGCTGCTGCACTGCACACCGTTGCTACCACGACCGCTCTTGCTGCTCCGCTGTCCCGCTCGTTGAGTGCTGACTCGCCTACACGTGCTTATCAGACGGCCAGGGACAAGGCCAATATCACGCTCCCGCTAAAAAACAGTGGGGCAAGGGCTGGATAACTCTAATCACGTTTCCAGACGGTCTCGATGGGAGACTGGCAGCTGGCAAGGACCTCTGCTGACACTGTTTCGAATTACATTGGGCTAATTTCCTCGCCAGTACCGCTACTACGGCGCCAACCCTACGGCCAGCCCTCCATCGCGCCCAAAGACTGTCGAAGCAAAGCAATGGGATCTGGCCACCACCGACGCCCTCGGTAGAACCATCTCTGCGTCCTCGACCACCGCCTCGTCTGGCCCCCGCCCTCACTCCACCATGGACATCACCAGGGGCTCCATGTCGAGCAACTCGAATCTGAGTACCAAGGACGACGGCACCACCCCCAACGAACCCTTCATCCTGCGCCATGGCCGCAGATACATCCGACGCGCGCAAGGCTACCCGCTGCCATGCGATCTTCCCGAACTCCACCGTCAGAATCTACAGACCCTTCTTGCCACGGCCGTCTTCGGGAGGGCCCTGGGCTCCACCCCGTCGCACGCTCCGAAAAAAGTCCTGGAAGTCGCATGCGGCACAGGATACTGGTCGGCTGTCTGTCACGAATGGTTGAGTGGTACGTACACCTGCTGACCTTGGCGGGCTCGGCGAGCTGTCCAGGCAGAGGCCTGCGACTTTCCTTTTCGCCATGTCTGCATACCCAGCTGCCACTCAGTGTTAACAATGAACCAGGTCAGGGCTACGAAGACGTTTCTTTTACCGGACTGGACATTGTCCATGTGGCCGGAGACTTGCAGCGCCAGGGCATTGACTGGAAATTTGTGCAACACGACTTGCGCAAGTTGCCACTGCCGTTTGACGACGAGGAGTTTGACATAGTAGTCATGAAAGACATGAGCATGGTAGTCCCCTTGGGGGCGCCAACACAAAGGACACTTGACGAGTGTATCCGCATTCTCAAATCGGGCGGCACGCTAGAAATGTGGGAGACTGATCACATCATTCGTTCCATCATGCCTCATCCCCCACCTCCGCCAGGCAAGAACCCCCAGGATTATGCTTGCGCCGTATCAACTGGGACGTTTCTTATTTCGCATACGACGCCCTTTACCGACGTCCAAAACAAGTACCTCCAAGATGCAAATGCGTGGATCCAAGAAGCCCTGGGCCGACGCAAACTCTCTCCAACCCCCTGTTCGCGCATCTCTCAGATATTGCTCCAGGAGACAGAGACGCTGTGCGAGGTAGAAAACCGCCGGGTGGCGATTCCGCTTGGCGAGCCGCGTTGGGAACGCGAAGCAGCGGGCGACACAATGAAGCGACGGGGGAGTGAGGCTGGGAAGCTCAAGATAGGCGGGTCAACCATGGATGGCTCTACTCTGACGCAGGAGCAAGCGGCCCTGCGGCACACGGCGCTCCTTGTTGTTATTCAACTGATTGAAAGCCTCGAGCCGCTGCTCAAGGACGTCAGCGGCAAGAATCAGGAGGAATGGCAGCGCTACTGGAATTCCATGATCAACGACCTGCTCGAGCAGAAAGGAGCCTCGAGTGGCGAGTGTCTTGAAATTGGAATCTGGTGGTGTAAAAAGGTCTAAGATTTGATTGGTATAACCTCTATTTTCTGGAGCTTTTTTTGTTCTTTCGTTCTGTGATATCCCGGTCTACGGCAGGCCATCGTTGGCAGATGTTAGTTCGTGTTTGTCAGTGACTAGATACCTGTATCATAGCGCTGGCGCAGAGTACGATAACGCTTGAGATAGTATCTGTACCATGTTGTCAGCCAAAAAAAAATAACTTTTCGAATCAAAGTTTTTGCTTCTCTTTTTCATGGCTTGGACTTACAAAGCTTCAATTTCTAACCCGTATATATATGTCAGCAATGAAAATTTGTCCAGGTTGCTGCAATATCAGAAGACTGACCTTTCTTCACGTACTCTGCCCTTTCAATGCCTTGCTTGATCTTGGCCTCGTCGGTCAAATGCCGCTGGCTTGCAAAGGCCTTGTGTAGACGCGTACGAAAGTAATCGTACCCCTGAGGGTATTCTCGGCCCATGTAAAGCAAGTCTGTTCCATGTGAATATAAGTTCGGTAGAAATTGGGGGGGTACGCGGGAGTTCGACGGACCCTTGTAGATCCGGATGACTTGATGGCGAAGCCCTGGGTTTGGAGCAGTCATGTTTCGAGTAGATGGAATAAATGTGATGGGGGTTTTCTTTCTTTTGTTTCGTTGGAGCTGGCTGTGTACACTAGTATTTTTGTTTTGCTGTAGAATGGCGTGTGCCGGGTGCACGACGAGGTATGTCGTGGAAGGATGGAAGGATGCGCTCGGACCGCGTTCCTGATGTAGGTACATAGGTACGTAAGGTTTTGGTCGAGTCGAGGTGGAGAGCTGGAGAAGCGGGGACCTCGGCTGCTTTGCCGCTATCTGCACATTGCCATCTCTAGATTCGCCGTGTTGCTTTCGCAGCGCATTTTCGAGCTTTTGTGTATTATTGGTTTTGTCGACATGCCGCCATTACTGCGCTCAATTGTCTGTAGAGTGAAGCCGATTCGACAGCTTCCAGGTGTACAGCGTGTCTCTTTTGAGCGGTATCAGTCGACGTCAAGTGGTACGTAGATATACTTTGGGAAGGCACGGTATGATCAACTAATCACCATGCACCGTGCATGCAGATAACGCACCTGCCACCGCTGCTCTCAGTCCAAGATGGCTCTCAGATGTCAAGCTGCGCATTGGAAAGTGCATTAGTTTTGGAATCAATCCAGCACAAGTCGAGGAGGCTGGTTCGATATTGCAAGAGACAGCGGAAGATTGTAAGCACTCGACTTGAAATGTTTTTTTCTAGTGTTTTTACGTGATGAAGGTGCTAACTTGTTCGTGTTTACCAAGGGAGAGAACTCGTAGGTGGAAGCGAAGGCTTTCTCACTGGCAAGCAATGGCGTGGACTCTACCGGCAAGAGGTTGTTTGGGGAGAGATGGTCAGCTTCATCATCCGAGATTTCTGTAAACGACTGCTAATGTGGATGTTGGCTGCATGCAGGATAGCATGGTAAGCCGACTGCAATGCGTTTATGAATGATTGCTGACCAACTAAAAGGGTATTTACTAGACGATCTCGCTGTGTACTGGGAAAAGTTTCTAACCATTTCAAGGTCACGTGAATAATGTCATGTACAATCGGTATGCTGAGTCTGCCCGGGTCAACTGGACACTGAACTTTGCGGCTAGCGACCCGCAGCATCGGGCTGAGTGGCTGGAGCTCATGACACCAAAAAGTATTGGTCTGATTCTGCGAAGTATCAAGACTGACTACAAATTTGTAAGTAAAGGCATTCTGCTCTTTGCTTTTGTTTGTCTGTTTACTAATGTCGAACACAGCCAATGACATGGCCAGACAGGTGTGTTTGCCGACGTAACAAAGCAGTCCCGTATTGACACGTGCGCCACCAGGATCACGGTACTCCACAAACTCCGCAACAAGCCTAGCCAAGGCAGTGATCATTTCATTCTCGATGTCATGATTCTGTCCGAGGCACATCGTCGTCCGGCAGCGCGTTGTGTTGAAGACATTGTAGTTTACGACTACAGGACAGGCAGAAAGTCACCACTGCCACCTTTTATGGTTGAAAAGTTCCAGGAAACATTCAATTTGCAGGAGCAGGCCAAGGCAAGAAACAGTGGTAGGGTCAAGGCACTATTGGATAGGGTGAGAGCGTTGGAGAAGGGCAGCTGGGATAGACCAGATGCCAAGGAGGACTTTGGAAGTGCGAATGATGCATAAACCTGTAGCAGCCTATCACTGAGACTGGCTATATCGTGAACAGCGCGATTTGTGAGTGCGAGAAGAATAATACAAGGATGAATGATAATTCATGGTTGCTTTGCTCAGAGGACGAATGTACATGGTGGTGTAATGGTGAGCAGGATTGGTCGAGGGCGGCGTTGCATGCATATCACGTCATGCCGGCTGCAGTTTAGTCGATGCAACATGCGGGGTTTTTTGCAGGCAGCTCTGGATCATGCCACAGTGATAGCAGCAGCAGAAAAGGATGCAAATTGGCGTACAGGATAGGTGCAGTGGGCAGATATGCAGAGACATGGTGGTATGGTGGTATGGTGGTATGGGGCGCGCAGGGATCTGCACGTGATGGGCGATGGGAATTGCCTGTTGTGGGGATCTGCGCGCCCGTTGGACGCGTGATGGTCAAGCTTTCCCTTGTTTGCAGCGCTGCCCCGCTGCCATTGGCGCACTTGGGCTAAGCTTCTACGCCGGCACTGTGCAGATTGCGGAAAAGGCCATGGATGTGCGGGCGGATGGCTTTGGCGCTATGCTCGCCTCAATCCACGATACACACAGATTGACGCAAATGCTCCGATGGCTTTGTTTGCAACAGCCGAACCATGTGCCCGAGCCTCATTGACGAGGGGCCAGATGTAGTGCGGTCTGGACAGCTGGCATGAGCACGGCCAAGTCAGGTACATGTGTAGTGTAGGAGAGTACATGTGTATCGTAAATAGTACACTCCTGATGGCAACGGCCGCATCATGTCTCTGCACACTGCAGACGGAGAGACGCGAGTAATAGACGGCGTCGCTGGCGGGGGTGTGCCCGCTGCAGAGACTTCATGGCATGCGGTCGAGAGAGGAAAGCGCGACTTTGACTTGCCCGGAGCGGGCTGTGGCACAGGGGGGTCCCGGCGCCCGCAAATGAGCGGCCATGCTAGAGAGGCCGGCGGAATCCCGCCCACGAATGCCATGGTCGTGGTGATGATGCTGCCGGGGACGGGGCATGGGGACGACAAGGAGGAAGAGCATGACGATGCAGCTGATGTCGACAATGGCACGACAGGGCCCGCCCGACGCAACGCAGACGCAACGCAGATGCAATCCCTCGCCTCTGTGCGGCCAGGCCAAATGGGCGGGCAGCCTGGCTTGCATGTCTTGCGCGCAGCAACCATCGTGGGTTAGTGGCTACTTACGATCGGCATCGTCAAGAGAAATCGGTGTCAGTTCGGCTGATGTGGGTATCGACGGAGCCAGGAGAGGAAGCCCGGAGCCAGGCGTCTTCTGGGTACCTAGGTGTACATTGTCCATGTGTGCTATGCATGTGCCAGCGCAGGTAGACATGTGCGTGTGTGTGTGAGAGAGAGAGAGAATGTGTGTGTGTGTGTGTGTGTGTGATTGAGGTGAAACCACGGTACGGCAGAGGAGGCAGGCCAAAGGGCCGAGGGCAGATGACAATGACAAAGGCAAAGGCAGTGGCATTGCAGCGGCAATCAATGCCCTGGCCAGGGGGGCCCAGTGGCACCATCAAGGCACGCCGTGCTGCTTGACTGCTCTGACTTTTCTGACTTTTTGCACTTGACGTTTGCGCAGACAGCAGCGTGGCTTGGCAACAGGCGGAAAGCTGCGAGTAGCCACGCGCAGGGCACCTCACTCTCTCTTGCTCCCCCATTCATCCCTCGCCCTCAGCTCACGACGCCCTTGCCCTTTCCCCTCGCCGCCCCCCCTCGCCCTCACACCACCCCACCGAGCAGCGGCTCTCAGTCTTCCAGTCTGGCTCGTCCTGTGCAGCAGTCGAGTCTCGCCGGGGAGACGTTTGCCCGCTTGCACCCGCACCCGCACCGCCGTCTATGGTAGCAAAGTCGAAGAGGACCGCGGCGCACGACAAGCGACACGAGAATGGCCTTGCCGCCCCCGGCAGACGCATCGACAAGCAGAAGAGCAACCCGGCCCTCAGTGCCAACACCCCCAATGGGAAGACCACGGCACAGCCCAGGCCCCAGCCCGGCCATGTAGCAGACAGCAGCGACACGGCGCCAGCAAACACGCTCCTTCACCACCACGACGCCGCCACTGCCATCATGCCTGCCGCCGCCGCCGCCGCCTCGTCGTCCTCTGCCTCGTCGGCCACCCCCTCCGCCTCCTCCGCCATCACCACTCCCGCTGCCCCCCACGCCCGCTCACACGACCGCACGCGCGCCGCTTCGGACGCCTCCAACGACAATTCCACAGATGCCTGCCGCCCCTACGACAATGCCACGGCCCCCTTTGACCCCATGTCATCGACCCTCCGCCGCGCAGACACTACAGGCTCCAAGCACGCTTCGCTGTCCATGACCACCATGCTCTCTGTCCCCGCCACCATTCTCACGTCCTGCCCGCTGCGGGACGTGCTCGCTATCCTCATCATCCTCCTCCAACTGCCCCCAACCGTCCTCACCGTCGTTCAGTTCCTCTTCGCTACCCTCACTTTTGTCCCGCCCCAGGCGGGCACCCCCCTCTCCGCCCTCTCTGCCTTTCCCTCCTTTACCGACATCTTCCAGGGCTCCGGCGGCACGCCCTCGCTCTTCACCACAATCATTGCCGACACCGTCATTCTTATGATATGGCTGTTGCTGTGGGTCCCTGCCCAGAACTTCTTCCTCGACCTGGCACAGGCCGTCATTGCCATCGCCCTGGGAGGGGCTGCAGCCGGCAAAAAGGGCACAACCAATAGCATTGTCATATGCTTTCTTATCATCTTCACCAGCCACGTCTTCAGATTTAGGCCTCTCCGGCAACACATTGTCCACTTTCTTTGGACAGGGCTCGCCCGGGGAGGCCTTGAATTTTTGACGAGCCCCCCGAGTACGCCGACCTCATTGGAAAGCTTCTCAACTCCCCATGGATGGCCTCGCAGCCTCCTGGGTATTCATATTCTAGCCCAAGGTGTCGTTCGCATCATCCGACGCTCTCTGTCTCGACGAGAACACACAACTCTACCTACTGGCAAGAAGACAGACCCCGAATCCGGTGTGCTTCAACGCTCCAACTCTATTAACCATGAACCAGCTGCCGACGTGCCCAATGCCTCGAGTACCGACGGCCGCCCCCCGGGGCCGTCGCCCGCCGTACACGCACACAAGGATAAAGCAAGTAGTGGTAGAAGGAAGAGAAAGCAAGCCACTCATGTTCGGAGTCAGCAGCCGTTTTGGGCTGCCCTTGCAAGTACAAAAGTTACTGTTTTAAAAGAAATGGAGAGTAGCCGGGCGGCAAACGATGCCGACGAGGCTAACGCAAAAGACGCAAATCACATTGGAAACGCTGTTTGGAGACCGGAAGACGATCGTGTTTGGATTTCAGAAGTCGGCTTTTCCGACATTTCATTTCGTGTTAGTTTAGCTGGTGGAGCTGGTATTCAGGAGCAGAACGAGGAAGATTCGAGCGTCGGGTCCGGCATAGACAAGTCAAAGCCATTCTACATCCGTGTCAATGGCGCTGATTGGAGCTCTGCCCGGATCCGGCATAGCGAGCCTGTTGGTTTTGAGGGTCAGGAGGGAACGGGCTACTGGGTAGGGGAGATTTTTGGGTTGACGGCACTGTCCAACTACTACTGCGAGTTTGTCAGGACCAACGACAACGAAGTCTTCTATTCAGCAAGTCTTATTACCTCGGCCAGCCCTGTTACCGAGCTTGGTAAGAACGACTGTTTATGCCATGTTTCTTTGCTAACGCGGTCAGCTTTAGCCTCCATTGCCTCCCCGCCAGCGCATCAGACCCTACGACCTTCTTCGCCTACTACGACATTGAAGAACTCTATTGCGGCAGCCGACCAGCAGTTACAAGAGCAACGCAATCGCCTGAAGCGGAACAAAAAGGACCACAAAAGTGCCATCACCAATATCAAGAAAGAGGTGGATACTCTCGGAAACCGCCTTGCCAACGCCGGTGGCAGTGATGAACGCCAGCGCCAGCGCGTCCTCCAACTCACCCAGAATATTCGCCAGGCAGATGATGCAGCTGCAGATTTCGCTCTTCAAGCAGAGAACCTGGGATGTATTCCCGAAGAGGAGTCCAAGGAAGCCGCAGCCAAGAAAGCCGAATGGAAAAAGGAGCGCGACAATAAGAATGCTGTTGCGAGCGAGTTCGACAAGACAAAGGAAGAGATTGAGCGCCAGGTTCAAAGCGTCCAGAACGACATCAACAACGCTTACCAGAAGAGGGAGCGTCTTCAGCAGCGTCTTACCAGGCTCAACGAGCAGCACGACCGACTTGTCACCGCCAATGCTGAAGGCTTCACCGCCAAGCAGCGAAGAGAGCAAGAACGTGCAGCTTTGCGAGCACAGCGCGCTGAAGTCGAGCATCAGTATCGGAGCAACATCATCAACTACGAAAGGCGGACTGAGGAACAAAATCTCTCGACTACTCAAATCATGCAAACCGTGCAGCAGTACGAAGAGCTCTTGATTCAGCAAGCCCAACAACACATGTCTGTTCCGACCACACCTGATGGCAATCTCCCTGGCACGAGCATGTCTCCTCATAACAACGGCTTCGCTAGCTTCACGTTCCCGTCGCTCAACTCTCACATGAACAGCACTCCTGGTTCCATGCGTGGCGGTCGCGGTCGCTCTTCGTCGATGCTTTCTAACGTATCCGGCTTCACTGATGCTTTCGATGAGCCCTCCTCTATGGCCCCCTATGTGCTTGGCAATCCTTTCAATACCCCTGGACCCGTCAATGGACGCAACCGCAGTCATGGAAGTGGCAGTTTGAGCTCGGGTACGTCGAGCCAAACTTCAAGCCAGAGGGATCCCTTGAGTCCTATCCAAAGTACCAAGCCCATGATGGTTCGAAGCGCAACAAATGGTAGCAATGGTTTCATGAGTCCGATTGGGACTGGTCGATAAAAGTGGAAAAAAAAACGGGATCTGTTCTTTTGCCGGATCTCCCTACGTAGCTCTCCAATGTGATTATATGTGTTCTTTTGGTTTATCCAAAATTCGTTTATACGATTCG